CTTGTGAATCACTTGATTGTGGTCAAAGCCACTGTCATCTTTCAGTTGCTAACTGGCTTCCTAAACATGCCTACAGAAACAGTGGGATTGCTGTGTGGTAAACAAATTACTTCTAACAGGAGACTGCCAGCACTGCTCCCAGACGCCAGGGAAGCCACAAGATGGGCTGCACAGTGTCTGACTGGAGCAGCTCTAGCATTGCATCCACAGCTAGCTCAGTGTCAGGCTGCTTCTGCAAGCACTGACAAAGAACCGAGCCTGCAAACTCCCACTACCATCTGCTGAAGCTTCACATCCCAAAGGAAAAATGGATTTCTGCTTACACATATTTTTAAGCATTTCAACAGAAGAGAAGGCAAGGGCGTAGACGCTCTCTCTATCTAAAAACACAAAGCCATGCTTTTTCTTTATAAGAAAAAAATTACTGCTGGTCCTTGACTTCCCATCTAGGACAGGGTTTCTTGCAAAAGCTTTAGACCTTTAGTCCCTTTCTGGAGAGAAGTCCTTAGGACAGGTACCATTGAATCCCCAGACAAGTTATTTCTAGAATGTGAAGATACTGTTCAAACACAGGTTCCAAAAGGTCTGCAAAGCGCTCTGAGTTGCTCCAGGCTCTGAGATGTTACATGGCAAAGTGAATATCAGCAGACAGTGGAGATTTTTTTCCCCTTGTGCTTCACCTTGAAGCAGCTGTTAGCAAAGCCAGAAAACTCCTCTGCCCCTTGGTGTATTTAATACAGCCTTGGCAAAGGGACTGCAGTCTGTCATCTCATTAATATGGGAATTGCCTAATTCTCTAGCTATTCTTATTACCTCAGCCTGAGGATCCCAGCTTTCCATAACTAATTCCTGAAATCACAGACTTTCCACTGTCCTTTCTGTCCTTGAGCAGCAAATCGCTCCTTCTCATGTAACTGATACTGGTGCCTGCTGTGGTGTCACTGGTTTTGCCAGGGCCCTTCCCTAGGAGGGACAGCACTGCGGACAAGGTTACTGACCCCCATACTCCTGCACAGCTCCCAGAGATACTCATCCTTTGTTGCTGTAACTTGCAGGAGGGTGTCTGGAAAATAACAAATTTTGCACAGCCCTGTGCAGTGGCTCAGGCTGCCAGAACAGCTCTGAAGCCTGGGCAGTGAGTTGGCAGCTGTAATGCAATCCATCCCTTGCAGCAGAGATCTCTCAACCTGTTCGTACAAGCCACAGAGCTCCCTGACTCCCTCCACATCTCACCTTGTCTGTGACTCCCACGAAGACTCAGGATTTGTGGTGCCTTCACCTGTCACTTCATTTTGCCCTCACTGTCACAAACATTCTCAGTCCACCTTCCCTCTCTGTGCCCATGTACCTATTTTCTACCTCTTTGTTATTTTTCCTTATCTCACTGATCCTGCCAGACCTGTCCATCCTCCCAAGACTCAGGGCTAAAGCTGTTCCTGTGCTGGAAGGTGGTAATGGCTGCCAGGAACCAGCTGTGAGGGCTGCTGCAAACTGAAAAACAGATGGAAGCTGAGACAGGGCTAATTATGAAGCAAGGACTGCAAAACTTGCTGGCCAGAAGTGCCCAGTTTATTCCCAGGGACAAATAACTTTCAATGTTGGCAGGTGACATGGGAGAAGGAAACTCATCAAGCTGTGGACAGATTTACAATTCTGGCTATGGAGTGCTGCATGTGATGCCTCCTCATCTCAGTAACACTCACGACTGCTGCTGCCAAACTGCTCTGGACAAGGAGAATGTGCTCACTGCAGTGGCAGCTGAGGAAATTTCCAGGCTAGTTCCAAGGGCTACACTCCTGCAGAGCACAGGCAGGTTAGATCTTTTATCATAGGCCAAGAAGCAGCTACAGCAGCACCGGCTATATTGCAACAGGATCCTGGCAAGGTGGAAAAAAACCCGTTAAGATCTTCCTGTTTCTTTTGTGATAGAGGACTTTTTTTTTCCCAAGAGCTTGCCAAAAGGATAACTGCACCAATGGAAAACTGAGTTATGTCCTCTAGTAGTTCATTTCTTAGTTCCAAACTGGCCCATTGAAAAGTTGCAGAAGAAATCACCTTCGAAGTCCACGGTTTTGTAATCAGAACCTCCCTTTGAATTAGTCATGTTATAGGGCTGTAAACACAATAATTCTGTCAATACTATGGAACAGTCATGTTGCATCTGTATTAACATAAATGTGTGCTGATGTGCCATAGAGCTAATCTGATATGACAGTAATTGGCTGATGCCCAGCCATGGAGGTCCTGGAGCTATGCTTGCTGTCTCTTATCCGAAAGAACTGTCCTCTGAAACACTGGAAAGGAAACCAACTGTGATGCTATATCTTGCCTGCCATCAATCAGCAATGCTTCTTGCACCTTCAGCACTGAGGTGCTTGAGGTTTGGGGGTAATTTTTTGGTTGGGGGAGCTATACTTGAAGTGTAACTTGATCTCGTACAAACTTAAATATTAAGAAACCAGGATTTCCAGACTATCTTGTTAGACTAAATCAGATTCAGCAAGCATGCAATGGATAATAAACTCAGAAAATCCATAAAAGCATTCCTTTCCCTTTCCTCTGTGACTACTGGGAGCTGTGCATCATCACCTAGTCTGCAGTAGGCTTTTCTTACACAGATGAAGCTTAAGGAGATTAAAACTTTATAAATGCTTTGGGGCTACCGTTGTTATCTTGTACAGTGCTCTACAGACAGAGGCAAGCCTTAAATCTGAGACTGAAGCTGGGGTTCTCTGGTTAAAGGCCTTAAAGGAGATCAATAAGCAATGTCTAAGGATGTGAACCAGATTTCAAACACAGTCCATCTCCTGTCTGGCCCATGAAAGCAACTGGACAGACTCAAAAACCAGGCTAGGATCAGGAGTCTTCACAGTTGCAGTCACAATAGGAATTACTTATTTTGCTTTTGGAAATATACCCTTCAAAGAGCCTTAGTGAGCAGAGATCTTGCCTCTTTTGAGGGAGGCTACCAAAGAAACCACAGCAGACACCCAGGCTTTCTGTATCTGGCTCATCAGCTGTGTGCGTGCTTTGCTGTCTGGATGCACAATGCCTTTCCTAACGCATCCTTGTTCATGATAGAGCTCTTGGGTTCTACCTCGGTACAATCCAAATAAGAGAGACTTGTTTTATTCAGAAACCATTATTCTCAAAGTATGGCACTAAAGGCACATCACTTTTGGCAATACGCAAGAGCAGTACCTCAAAATCCCAGAGCATATGTGGCTGACAGTGCCCAAAACATCTCATGGAGCAGCCAGTGAAATTAGGATAAAATTTTTTCAAGTAATGTGGGGAAGAGCACCTTAAATAGGGGATTTGGAATCTGTACTTAGGTTCTGAATTTGACTTAAATCTTTCTAGGTCTCTTATCTGTTCCCTCATCTGTAAAATGAGATCAATAAAACCTCCCCAGATTTGCAGCAGTGCCCCCAGTCTTAACTGATATCTGTGAAGCATTTTGAGAGCCATGAGTGAAAGAAACCATTACCAAGCCCTCAGGCCTTACTACAATACCAACAAACAAGCAGAGTTGTTTATAATGCTTTTCAGTGCAACAATGACTAGGAAATGAGGAAAGGCTAAAGTATAGATGCACCCAGTGCTGCTTTGCTGCAGCATCAATGTAAATGGTAGGAGCAGATTTTAGACATTTTCCTCCAGGCAATTCTGTTTTCAATAATGCAGCAAAACTTCTGCCTCTATGGATTCAAACAGATGCCCTTGCTAACATCTCAGGTATCAAAACCTATTATGAATTTGGGAGAATGCGTCTTGGAGTTGAAATGATATGGATATTAATTAAGAAATAACTCACTGGAACCTCGCAGATTTAAAGAGCCGGGTGCTGCCCAGCCACCCCCTTCCCAACGATTGAACTCAGCCTAGTACCGTACCAGCACGCGATATCCCACCTTGCACATGACAAAAAGCCCCATGGCATCTCCAAGGCTCTATCACACCGACTGCAAAGCTCTCTGTCCCTGCGGGTGCAGTTTTAGGAGCCGAGAACAGCGGCCGGGCTCGCCCGGACCATGGCACGGGTAGAGCGCTCCGGCCCGCGCTGCGCCAGAGGAGCCCCCGCTGCTGGCGAGGGGCGAGCGAGTGCGGGATGCGGGCACATGCGGGAGCCCGGCAGCGAGCAGGTGTCAGCCGGGGCAGCTGTGGAAGGGCTCGGGAAGCGCGTGTATCCCCCCGCTCCCGGTCTCCGCGCTGGGCGCCGAGCCGCCGGTAGGACCCGAGGGGCCCCGCTGGACCCGGAGAACGAGACCCAGCGCACAGATAAATCATAAAGCGCTCCAAGAGCGGTCCCGCAACCCTCCCCACCGCGCAGCCATTTGCCTTTGTTGAAGCACCGCGTCCGCAAGGTGCGGCGGGGCCGGGGCCGGGCCGAGGATGAAGAAGGAGCTCGCTCCCCGGTTGCACTCCCCTCATAGCAGGGCGGTGGGGACACGTCCTGCGGGACTGGCTGCCGAGAGGGACCCGCCCGCACGCCCGCCGCCCGTACCTGCCTACCTGCGGAGCCCGCCCGGGACGCGTCGCCCGCCGCCTTTGTTGTGCATGCCCGCCCCGGCAGTGCCGAGCCGCGGGTCGGCTCCGGCCCGGCCCCTCGGCGCCCGCCGCTCGCAGGCCCGGCTTAGCCCGTCGCCACGGCAACGGCGGGCGCGGCTCGGGCGAGGTACCGGCCTCAGGGCCCCGCCCCGAGCGGGCTGAGGGGACAGAGCGGGCGGTGCTGAGGGGACAGAACGGGGGTCCCCGGAGGGCCCCGCCCCGAGCGGCCTGAGGGGAGAGCGGGGCGTCCCCGCGGGGCCGGGAGCGGGCGGTGCTGAGGAGACGGGGCAGGGGGTCCCCGCGGGGCCGACAGGAGGCGGCCCCGCAGCCTCGGCTTTAGGGCGCTCGTCTCTCGGCGCCCGCCCTTTTCTCCAGCCCTGCGCCCCTCCTTCCCCAGAGTGCCGGGCAGTTCCGAGCGGGGCTTAGATTAGCCCTCGGCTTCCTCTTACGGTGCTTGGGATCCCTCATTTTCCATATCCGGTAGCGTTTCTTTAGACTGGCCACCTCGGGAGTCCCTATCTCCGGTCACAGATCGCACGTTCTTTTGTCCTACAGCAAGCACGGCTCTGGTGACTCTCCTGACTATCTTCCTGCATCAGCCTCCACAGGCTCTTACACGTGACGGGCAGTCTTTCTGAAAAGAGGGGAGCTGCTGTGAGAATAAAGCCAAGGCAGTGGTAACGCCTCCGTTTAATCCCTGTTCCTGGCTGTAGGGACGAATTGTATCCTGCATTTACAGCTATTTTAATTGACCGTTCATTTTAGGGATAATCATGACAGCTTGAACCTCTTCCCTTTCAGTCAGTAAGGACTTGGCAAATTAATAGCTATGTTGATTGTTACTAGGATTAAGTGCCGCAGTTCATTGGCTCTGTCATGTAATGCTAGATTGAGCTGGGTCTTGTTACCGGACTTACACGTGTGAGCGTGTGTTCATCTCCTTATGAACAGGCAGGTTCTGGACTGGTGAGACATGTTTAAAGGAGAGCCCCTGACCAGAATTGCTCATATTCATGAGCTTTAAGTGATCCGGCCTAAGTAAAGGCATTGTTTCTGTTTGAGGACATTAATTAGAGAAGAACTGCAGAGAAAAGTTGATTGTGGAGAGAAATAAATAGCATAGCAACTTTGAACTCTTTCTGTGCGTTCAACACCTGATTATACAAGTTATTTTTTTTTCATTCTCAAGTCTGTCAAACTCCTGTTTAACCTTAGTAGAAAGGGATTTCAGTAGCACTAGGTTCATGGCATCCTCTGCTGAAGGTTCTTAAATTACAAATAAAACATATGAAACCTCTTCAATAAGCCTCATATGTCAGAGGAAAAGACAGAATGTGCTCAAGGTTAGAGAGATGTTCTCTGGCACAACGGGGAAAAACTGCCAGAGCTGTGGTATCCTGTCCTTGGTCTTCTCATCTGGAAGACTGCCATTCTGTCCCAAGAAGGCACCTGGGGTAAACTCAGCCCTGCCTTCAGAAAGAGGGAGCAGGGGAGAGGGAACAGGAGGCAACAGTGTTTTAGCTCCCCTTGGTCAATCTGGGCCCATATAGTGCTCACGTCAGTAAACAATCTTGTTCTTAAAGGGTTTCTCATTGGACACAAGGTCTCTTAGGAGATGACCTGGTGTTATTGTGCTGTAAAGAAAGATAAGGAGAACATGAAGACCTATTGCCATGGTCTTTGCAGCTCCTCCTGCAACGAACTCCCTCCTTTTCTGATGTGTGCTAATTTATAAATAGACCCGATTCCTCTACTTGGAGAAAGCTTTTGTCTCTCCTTTTACTTGATATATGTGACACTCTGCAGTGGAGAGCAGATGTTTGCACCAGATTCTGCTCCCATGGAAATGGGCAGTTGAAGACTCAGAGGCGAGGGGTGAAATAGCATCAGGGTTATCTCGTCCTCAGCTCAGAGCTCCTGTTACAGCCAGTCTGAAAGGCCAGGAGACGCCCTTGGATTTAGCAGCACAGTCTCAAGTGTATGCCTCTGTCTCTGCTGGAGATGAACATCCTGTTGTTTGCAGAATCCAGTTACAGCTAAAGCTAAAAAAAAGTATCTGTCTGCATAAACAGGAATTTTCCTCAATTGCAGGAGCCAGCAAAGGACACTACTTTGTCTCTGTCTCTAAAAGGGCTGAGTAATGTTTTGTTTGTTTTGTTCTTTTTGCCGCCTTCTTCCAGCTCTATGACTTTGGTGGTGCCTTTGGCAGAAGAACAGCGGCCATTGCTTCCATTTTATCCATATCCACCACAGGATTTTGTTTTCCAGATTGTTTGCTGCAGCTGAAGCCATAGAAATAATGCTCCTGTATAGCTCTACTTAAGGGAGGGGAGAAACAAAACCACATGACAAATTGGTCCAATTTATCACAGCAACAGAAACCTGCAATTCAGCTCAATCGCCCCCACAGGCCAGCTTAGACAGCATCAATATTTAATGACCTGAGCACCACTGCCTTCACAGCTTGGGGTCCACCTCTGCCCCTTGCCTTGTCACAGGTACCCCCCAGGAATGTCACCCCACCAGTGTGGAGAGCACCCCCAGAATTCCTCTGGGTAAGCAGGGTCTGTCTTCAGACTGTCCAAGTCAAGCCTGCTTACTACCCCAAAGGGCACAGTCTAGACCTGCTGGGTATGACCAAATTCTGCCCCTTTCTCCTGTCTGTCTGGACCACCCATGCTGTAGATTTATGCCCAAATAACAGCTCCAGGCTTTCTAGGTATGCCTATGGTCTGTGGCAAAGTGGAAAGCAGGAGTAGGACTGGACCAGTGCAGCTCTCCTACAGTCTTTTTTTGGGTAATTGTATTATCCAGACAGGACTGTTCACTTGGTAGCAATCTGGAGATGACTTTCTGTTCAGCTGTCCACATCTGTTCCCATTATTAAGGTAATGCAGTGAAGTAAAATGTCAGCAACAGGACCTGCATGTGGTGCAGGAAGACTTGAAAAGAGGATGAGTCAAACTATGTCAAATCCCTCCCACTGTGAGCCAAGTAGGGCCATCAGAGGAGGTTGGGAATCTCTTTTACTGGGCCCAGGCTCTGAACAGGCCACAGCAATTGGCATCCAAGAACATCTCCCAGCTCCACCACAGCATGTGGCCCCTTTCTGGCCTGCTCTGCATGGGACAGAAACAGGAAAAAGTGACAGTGTATACAGCTATAGATAGCCATAGGCATGTTCCTTCATGGCTCTCTTGCCTCAGTTTCCCTGGTCTCTAAAATGGATGTGACTGCAAGCTCCTGATGATAAGCAGAAAGTAAAACACGGCGTTTTTATCAGGCTGCAGCGGGGCAGAGAAATTTGTACTACTGGACCAGCAACTTGAATTCCTCCAGCAAAAGTGCATCTTCTACTAGGTTCTCTGTTCACTTGAAAATCCCCATGATTTAGCAAACTGCATATTCCAAAGAGGGAGTTCACTATCCATTCTACTGGCAGCAAGTGGCAGAGGCCATTACAGTAAGTGGCGTTTTGGGAAGATGGTATTTAACACTGGCCATAGGGGCTAGGCTCTTCATGCAAGATACATTCAGCAAAGCCCTTTTGTGACCTTCTCCCTGCACTAAGGAGCTGACAGAATAAGGGTTATTAGGAATAAACATAAATGCAGAGGTTTCTGCATCAAAATAGTTTGGGCCAGAGGCTGCACAGCCAAGGGGATGATGATGTGCACAGAGAACTCAGGTATTTAGAAGGGAAAAGCTGGCTTGCTGCAGTTCACCCAGAGATGCTGGGCTGTGTCCAGTGCCAGAGAGCTTGGCTGCTGAGGGATAGCTTCCATTCCCTGGAGCACTTGGTGACTGCCCCCAGAACCTCTGCTCCTGTAGTTGTCGGGTACCTGTCTTGTTATGGGCATGGCTCAAAACTAACACAGCAGGACTGTGCAGAAGAATATGTAACTTGACAGACACCTGCAATTGCCCTAGCAAATACTTAATGGATTGTTCCATCAGTTAACTACCCAAGAAAGGAATCGTGAGCCAATTCAGTGCATGCCAAATTACAGCTCTGTGAAAAAAGTTAACATAGAGCACAGCTCTTCCTCCTGGCAGCCATCCAGTTATTAATTTCCATGTATCAGCTGCATCTGAATGGGCTTGGTCTTCCGCCCACTGTTTCTATTTATTTGTTTTCTATTCGGCTCCACTAAAATTAAAACCCAAAACCTTCCAGAGAGAATAGAAAACAAACATGCTGAACCAATACTGCTGCCCACATATAACCAGCAGAAACCACTACTACACTTTTTCCTCCTTCAATCCTAACAAAATGGAAGTCAGGCAAAAACACCAGGAAGCCTTTATGGATGAACAAAGAGCTCCTGGACAAACTCAAACAAAAGGAAACCTACAGAGGGTGGAAGCAAGGACAGGTAGTCTGGGAGAAATACAGAGAAAGTACTCAACCTTCCTCATGTTTGCATGATTTCCTATTGGTGTGTTGGTTTGCTCTGGACACATCTTTATTTCAAAGCACATCACCCGATAAAATGTTTTGCTATAAAATCCCAGTCTTTTACAATGGCCATTTTTATGCATCCCAGTATGAATAATAAGTGTGAAGAAAAGCCAAAGGTTAGGAACTTACTTTTAAAGTGATACAAATTACAAAATACCTTAATTTACAATTACAGTATTTAAATCCTATTTGCAACAGCACAATAGGATCCAACTGTTGATGTACAGGAAGGGATTCTTACTAAGTAAAATGCACTAAAATAAGGCCTTGGTCTTTTTCAGTCTTTTTCAAATGTTTTCCTTCCTTAAAAACATACACAAGTGAGTGCACAGTGCTAGATACGAGTTTGGTTGAATATTAAATTCTTCTGCTTGTCACCTAAAAGGGTTTCGTTCCTCCAATAAAGAGAGTTTCCAGTTCTGTGTTTATGGCATCATCAGGAATTACATCATCCTCCATAAACTCATCTCCAAGCTTCTTCCACCATGGCCAACGAGAGTATTTTAGCATTGTGTTGTGGGTTTGTCTTGCCTTGGTAGCTACAGGGATTGATCGACTCATAAATGCACCAAGATCTTTTTCTGTGGTCTCTGCTAAGCCTGGAGCATCTGCAAAGAGCAAGGAGAAGAGTTTTCTGTATTTTGTTTGTGGTTTTATGAGTACTTGAAAAAAAAAAGGAACACAACCCTCCCACTTCCCACTGTCCTAGGTCACTCCTTTCCCCATGCTGGCCTTGCAATTTTATGACTACATGATAGATCAAATCTGATTGGAGAGGCAATCCAAATAAAAGCTATTCTTAAAAAAATGAACTAGATAATGGGGTAGAAAGGAGAAAGGGGAAAGATGGACTCCTTCATTCAAGTGCAGTGATGGCATCCACCAAAATGACTTCTTGTGGAAGTATAACCTCAGAGGATCTCCTGGTCACTACTGTGGATCAGTGCTCCTGGTGCAGGGTGACATCAGCATGGTGTAACCACTGCTCTGGTGCAGCAGCACTGTGGTTTCCCTGCTTGGGGGACCCAGCAGAGTGTGAGAGTGTGTTGCTGATTTGCCTGCTCAGGAAGTGATGAGCTGCAGTGACACAGCACGTGATAGACTAAATAATGGAATTCAGTAACTTGCTGAATTCTGCCTGGCTTGGGTGCTCTCTGGTGGCTGCAGTTTGCTACTCTTGCTCTTTTATACAGACACTTGTCTGGAATTAGGATGGCACAGTAGTGAACTCACTTAAAGCCAGGCCAGAGAAAATGAAAACAGCTCAAAGATTTCCCTCTTTATCTGTAAGGGGTGAGAGTTTTTTAACCAGCAGCTTACTTGCAACACAAGAAAACAAACCAAAGCAAAATAAATGTGGGTGAATAAATAGGTTGTGTGAGACCCCCTTTTAAGAAATCCTAATACCTGTTACAAGGCCATTGCTTTTCTTGTGAACATATCAGAGAGAGACTTTCAGCAGAAGAATAAAATGCTCCTTGAAAAACAGGTTTTTATCCTTAACCTACAGCAGCACGTGGATAATCTCTAACAAAGCCTGGATCTCAAGATAAGGCATATGGCAAAGGAAGAAAGATATTTCAGTTTTGAAATGAGGCTTTACCACTGCTCACTCTTAATTTTCCCTCTTAATTGGTTTAATCCAAATGGTAATCAAAGCCATGAGCAGAGTAGTCACATACTCATTAGCAGCTCCACATCGGTGTTGACCTGAGCCAGTAAAGCCTCTCTCCGCTGTGCTGCTCTCTGATCCAGCCTGCTCCTCAACAGGAACTGTGCCAGCTTTGACTGAGCCTGCATATGCAATTCTTTACTCCTTTCCTCTGACATTTGGGGAGCCTGGAGGAAAATAAGTTTATTACCATTAGGAGCTGGTTATTTTAAAACTTCTGGGGGCAGAATAATGCCTAAACAAGGAATGCAAATGCTGTTTGTAATTGTTAACTTCATAATTTTGCTTCCTCTGCAACTCTCTTCAAAATTATCCATCATCATGTATCTAAATTTTCCAATTACGGTTTGCTTTGACACTTATTATTACATTAATGGTTGAAATCTCCAATATCCTAGTGCCTTGCTGTCAGACAAGCAGGGTTAATAAATACATACCTCAAATGGATTATCTTGATCATAATTTATGAAGCTGAATATATTTAATCCCTACAGTATTTTATGTTGCATCATTAATGGAAATTATGAAATGACTAAGAAACAGACCGGATGCAATTTGATGTAGTCATCCACCTTCTGCTGCAAAGCTAGTCTCTGCTCATCCGTCAGTCCCTTGGGTTCTTTCCAAGGAGAGAGAGGTCTCCTCCTTCTTCGTTTCTCCAAGAATTTACAAGCCTTTGTAAGGAACATATGAGAATATGACAATCACAGAGAGGAAGTTTGTCTTCCCACTTTGTTTGTAAAAAAACAGTGAAAGCGTTTCAGTTTGCATCTGCTAAAGCCTAAATGCAGCTATGATGTTGAGAAGACAACATACAAGGTCAGCATGAACACTAAATAGTAAGTAACAACACTCATAATAAGTTACTGACTCATCTGTAGTATGGTGACATTCCAATTCTGAGTTTCAAAGACGCAGCTTTTATATTTTAGTTACAAGACTGAATTAGGCTTTGTAGCCTATATAAGGTTTAACCCTTTAAAGCAACTTGTGGCTCTAGACTATCATCCCCAAGTAATTTTTTAATATATTATGGCTACATTGACAGCAATAAACAGTTTTATGAGGCTTCACAGTAATCCATTCAGTCCTATCTACTGTTTGAACAAAGTATAAATACTTACTGCTCTCTGAATGATGACAGCTGCCTTATACTCCTTAAGAGATTGTTTCTGCTGATGAAAAAGTCTTCTTGCTCTATACCCTCGCCAGAATCTCTGGATAGTTAATGCTGATTTCTCCTCCACTTCCTGCATGTATTTATTCACCTGACCTACAAAGGTAACAAAAATCCACAGTTACAAGACTGTGGTTAAGTTCTCTTAAGAATTTACATTGTTAATCGTCAAACTCAATAGTACCAAAAAAACTTAGGTGCTCTCAGGTAAAAGCCCCTCTTTCCCCAAGGTCTCCTAGCTGTGGGTCAGGTCTTGTAGATCACAGCTGCAATGGAGCTTTGTAACACAAGCAAATTGGCTCTCCCTTTCTCCTGCACCATTTTGAAGGCAGCAGATCTTGATCAGTAGTTACTGAGCCCTGGGGGAATTAGCACATTCTCTTTCAGATAATTGGGTCAGGAGAAGAGACAGTAAGACTACACTGCAAATAGACATGCAAGATTGGGTAATAGATTTCAGGAAATTGTTCCTAAGGAGACCCAGACACTTTAATCTTCTGCTATAGTTTAATATAAATCATACTGGCATGGACAACTTCCAGTAAGGCCAGCTGTCGTTCATGGAAGAGTCTCATGGCCCTCTGTCTCTGAAGTTGCATTTGCAGTTTTAGAGCTTCATCTTCCTTCTGTTTTGTTAAATGTTGCAGCTCCTGTTCCCGTTTAGCTCTGCAATACACAAATACATTAACAATTACTTAAGTTGTACATGTCTTTGAAGTATCTCCCTTTTTCTTTGTGTTAAGTGGTCCAGCATTGAGAAAGAAAATCCACAAAACAATCTGCTATTCCGCTGTTGGCTGCAGAATGACACTAAGCAAATGAACATTCTGCAAATGAACAGATTACCACACAATCTGTAGCCATTAAAAACTCGGAACCATTCTATGAAATCAAAGTAAAAATCTTTACTTATGATAAAATTCTAAGGACTGAAGGGAATGATGCTTCATGTGGGACATTCACAGCCAGAATGAACTGGAACAACAATTTTGATTCCATCATCTGCTGAAGAGGTAAAGCAACATTAGCCATCTGCTCCAGTATGCACCTTTTCCAGGCCATCCATGAGCATGCACAGCACCTGCTTCCCACAATACATGTAATTATTTTTGTACTGACTACACATAGATCAGAATGTTGACTACCAAGCCTCACTTCTTAATTCTGGAGGGATTTTTTTTCTCCAGGAAATACAGACTAACACATTTGGTCCATCAACTTTGTGAGAGAACACTAGGAAATAATTCTCTTGCAAATTCTTCCTGATCTGTTCTACATTTGATGTTAGGAAGTTGCCTTGCTGTGCACTGAAAAACCTGCAGCAGAAGTTTCACAGATGAGACAGTAGAAAACTCTGCAACTGGCCCTGGAGCATTTAAGCTAATAATATGTACATCAATGAAATACACAGCAACATATCAATATAGAGACTAACACAATATCCTGATATATCAATACCAATAATTACTGAGACCACTTGGCCATGGTCTCAGTGAAGTATGAGGAGATATGAGCTAAAGTTCCCCCTCCCTTCACTGCCCCTTCTCATCCCAATGGACCCAACCTTGTTAGCACCTTAAGACCTGAGAATGTACAACTTTACCCCACAACAAGGTAACAACGGGACTTCTCTGATCCTACTGTAGCAAAATCATTTCCCCACTCAGGACCTGAGTACCCTCACTGGGCCCACAGCCCAGAGTTCTGCTCTCCTCTAGCACTTTCCTGTGGACGATGAAAGAAATGCATTAAGCACTAGGAAGGAAAACCAGTGGACAGAGCAGGGGTATAAGGGATGCCAGAGAAGGAAAACGTCCACAGACTAGAACTAATGTCCACCAATTCTGCTACTGCTGCATGGCACATAGCTCATTAGTAGTGTGAGTCTAAAGGTATTTGTGTTTCCCATCACTAGTATAAATTGAGCTATAGTTTTTCCACCAACCATACTTCCACTATACAAACAAAACTAGTTTGTAGAGATTCGGATGGAAGCTGTTATGTAAAAGAGATGCTCTGGATTTAAAGATCTGACAGTAACAGATAAAAAAGCCTCCCTCACAATCTGACAGACCATAATCCTTTTACTACTGTAATGCAGACTTGAGGTGTGCCCACACAACCTACCTATAGAGACAGATCACGATACATGTGATTATATCAGAATGGTTTCAAGGAAATTAAAGATTTTTCAGCCCACACACTTCTGCAAATTAGAGCTGTAAATTTTTACATTTTTAATTCAGGTAATTAATATTTTAATAAAAATATTCTATTTCTAAGGCAAATGAAGTCACAGGATCAAACAAGAGTTTTGACCACATTTTCTTGATAAAACTATTAATATTTTGTGCATCAATTTTAACCAGCTTCAGTAGGTTGAAAACTACAAAAATGTTTCATTAACTTCTCAGATGTACATCTGCTAAACCAAGAGTGTCTGTCAGGTATTTAAATGATTCTTTAATAATGATTCTTTCCTATGTAGTCTGTAAAACACATTCATCCTCTGTTTTTCCCAATATTAAGATGTATTTGCTTGCATAAAACCACACTGTGACAGGGAACTGCATCTGAACTAAAGTAAAAGTAAAACACACACAGAGTAAGATACTAATAATTAGTATCTGCAGTTCATGGCACAGAGCAGTCTCCCTCTGGCCATCTCTTTAGAAATGCAAAATGGTTTCATTTTTGATGCATTATTAATAAAAATTATTGCCATTTTAAATGTCCTACAATTAGCTACGTAATAGTGAACTAGCTTCAAGGAGAGACTACAGGCTTTAACATTCACCGAGGAGACATTTCTGAAACCACAATTTCAAAAGTTTATAAATTGCAGAGTTTAATATCTTCCTCTGCAGCTGCAGGTGAGCAAAGTTTGGAGTTTCAATCTTGGTAGTATTTAACCACATTTGTTCTAAAATAAATCTGTGAACATAAGCAGAATCTGACTGCTAAAAATTAAGAAGTCCTCTTAAAAGCTCTTCTAAAGTCATGTTTGCAGTATTCCAAACACTATTTTTCAGTGTAATGTTTTGATGTAGACAGAAGAAAACCAACACTGGCACTGTACAGTTACTCTATTTGCTCAGTACACTGGGACTGAGTGAGCCATGAACACACACAGCTGTAAGGATATTAGTAAGTTTCCATTCCTCTTAATATTAAACTAACACTTTCAAAAGTCCATTTAAATTACTAGAAAACTACTTAAAAAGCACACACTAATGCTCACAATATTGAAAATATGACACAAAGGAGTCAAGTAGCTTGGTGATTGTTGAGAGTCTCATCACCCTTTCCATGTTACATCTTAGCCCATCATCCAAATTTTCTGGGCTGTAAGTTTGGCTTGCAATGTACCTTATGAGGGAAGAAATATTGGCTTCAAGTGTATGGTGGAGTAAAAAGGAGTGACAAGGATGTCTGACTGCAGCACAAAAGTGCAGCGACCAGTAGCCCTCAAAAGACATATTGCTTGCCTCCACAAATCTTTCAGAATTTAAAAATTACACCTTAGATAGTCCAATATCCTCTTAAGGCCAGTCTAGAAAATAAAGCATAGTTGTTTGCTTTGTATTACTTTGGTCACAATGAAATGTGATTTGACAGTGATTTGTAAGATCTACTTTTGACACAGTAATGATTAATGTGCAAAAAAAGTTTGAAAAAACTTGCTGTGGAGTCTGCACTTGATTTATACCCCTTAATCTATGTTAAATTCAAACTGAATTTCTCAGAACAGTTAGCCTAACGTGTGCTAACAGTACTGCTGCAATTTAATTCAAGTGAGACAAGCATTATTTACATAGCTTCCTTCTTCTCTGCTGCTCCAAGGCAGAGGATACTATTTCTAGGTCATTGAAGTAACTCTACTTCTGAGAGCCAAAGATTTAAAAATTCATGAAGAACAAGGTCTTGCAAGCACTACACTGAGCAAGCACTATGGGCCTTGGTTTCTGCAGCACTCAGGCATGTGGAAGCTCCAGGATAGCTCCAATGTAATTTACAGAGCAATTTTGTGTCAAGTTAACTGTGAACCAGCTAACTCTCCTACCACCAGTACATCAACTTTTAGTGATACTTAGTGCAATCCCATGCCACACTTTCAGTTTTCCATATGCCACAAATTTTTAGAGAAAACATAAAAGCACTACAGAAGTAAGTTTTTTCATGGAGAAGTCTGGCAGCTGGGAAAGGGACAGTTGGAGCTTTTGGCACCAGAAGTGGCAGTTTGGTACTGCTGAAAAAGCACATTGTTTGGAGGTTTCTGCTAAAAAAATCTGTAATGAAAAGGCTCACATTGGCATTCCATCACCTTTATGTTTGAGAAGTAACAGCTGACTGGAAAAAGGCATCTTCAAGATGAAGGGACACTTGGTCAGCCCAAATTTAGGTCATGGGACATGGAAACAAATTCTCAGAGAAGCTATATCCAGGAAGGACAGGAAAGTGAATGGGAACAGATAGATTTATCACAGGCAAATTACATTTGATCAGCTTGATTGCATTCTGTGATGACTGGCTCCGTGGATGAAGGGAAAGCAGTGGATTTAATTTTCCTTGATTTTACCAAGGCTGTCATCACAGTCTCCCATGCAGGGCAGGGCTGACACTCAGAGAAACCTCCACAAACACAGAAAATGGTTCTATAGAAATGAAATTCAAATGAGAAATTCTACAGCTGGTACTAAATAACCTATGAACCAGCACAGGCTGGGCATCAATTACCCAGACAGCAACCCAAATGAAAAGAGGGGACAGGATGGACATAAGCCAGAAGTGAGACCTTGCAGGAACAAAGGCTACAGCCAGTGGGAAGATTATTTGGGCTTTACTTGGCACACCTGGAGCACTGGTCACAGGCTACTGGCACCCCCAATGGAAAAGCAATGCTGACAAATGGAAGGGATAGAGACTGTCCAAACAGACAATTAGGGCCGTGGAATGTAAGGATATATAAGGACAGGCAAGGTGTGTTGAGCCTAAAGGAAGGCAAATCTGTCTCTCCCTACCTAAAGAAGTATTATTGAGCAGATGCAGCCAGACTCATGGGGGTGCTCAGAAAAAAAACACAAGAGGCAAGAGGTGATAAAGAGTGTAACAAGGAAATTCCCACTGCCTGTAATGGAAAAATTCTTCACAAGGCAAATCATCCAGCACAAGGAAAGAGATCAAGTTAGATGGTAGGATCTCCATCCTTGGAGACCTCTAAAACTGGATGTGGACCTGAGCATTCAGATCCCATTTTGAGGCAGGGCCTTCTTCAAACAGGACATTGAATTAGATGACCTGAACTTTTCCTCTTCCTTTGTGACTTGAGAAAACCCAGCCCAACCCAAACCTTCATACTAGATCCTATTCTTTACTGTTTTTCACAAAGTCATACTGTTTACCTGAAGCTTCTCTGTAAAGTGATCACTGCTTGGGGTAGCTTTTTCAGCCTTTTCCTTGTCTGAAATCCCCGCCAGGCTGCCTGGATTATACAAGCTGCTTGATGCTGCTTCTGAAATTAATAAAACAGCTGGTAGAATATTTTCTATGCATATAAAAACACTTTATTACTGCATGCATAATTGGACAATCTCAACATTTGGCCAAACTCTATCGGTTTTCAAATGCATCAGACTGGGGAATTTAAGGTCTTACAAGAGTTATTATCTTGAACTCTATACTTGCCCCAAAAGCAGCTAATCTGATCACCTGTATTGATGCTCTCTCTGGTAAACAAATGAATCTACAGCACAAATAAATACATAAACATATATAAAAGAAATCTGTATTTAAAACACCTGAAGGATTTGATATTTCAAATGGTGATTCAATCAAAATACCCACACTAGAGAGGACAGAAAGACATATTTGGAGAAAGTAGCAGGAAAAATGTTACATTTGCAGTATGATCAGAAGTCACTGGAATGCAAACGTGAAAAATAATCAATTCTATTCTCAAACGGATTTTTAAAAACCCCCACAAACAATCACAAAACACCCTGCTCTGTTGAAGATGAAAGCAGGTCTTAGCAAACACTACTGATATGCACTGAAGTATTGTCTCTGAGAAATCTGGATGTAAAATTTTTTTAAGATGCTCATGAAACACACATTGTCTCTGTTATTTGAACACAGTCCAGGTCGTGTTCTTACTGCACATTTTCTGTACATGACTTAGTTCTATGTAAATGCTGCCTAGAATTCAGAGATATAAATTTATAACACTGATGTGAGAAAAGCAGATGCAGTTATTTTAATTTTATAATTAGCAAAAAAATTAATTTCCCCCTATGGTTATGTTGAAATCTATAGTGGATCTGCACAGAAAGTCAATTTCATGAGTCACAGTCCCAAATCTTAATGATGGAGCAATTTCTTGATATTTTAGAAAAAACACAATAAAATAAATGTTAAAAGGCAGTTAAAAATAAATTAACGTAGCGAAATAATAACACAGCTTTTGAAAAGTATCTACAAAGTGATAAGTAAATCCATTCTAAACATCCACAAATCACATGTAAATAGGATTTCGCATCTGAAAGTCACATTAAACTTCATCACCTGCATTCCTCCTTTTCCACTTGATTGTTCCAAATACAGCAGGTCCAAGAGTTGATTGACCTCCCTGTCAAATCCTTTGCCAGTCCAGTGTTTACTTAAAAGCCCTTTTAATCCTAAGAGACAGAGAAGAAGCTAATTCACTAAAGTGAATTTTTCTTTTCAGGCTTTCAAAGTAACAAACTGCGAATCAACAAATCAAATCTGATTCTATGTGCAAAGGAGTGTGAGGGCTGAAGACCATCAGCCATCTTTGAGTGTCAATGCATAATCTTATCAAAGAATATCTGGTGGTCCAACTATCACAGAGAAGTATTGTCCAGTGATTCTGTATGTCTGAGTCAGTATTGTGTTTATATCACTGACAAATTACCAGTGTACTTTCAGGGTCTTATCAGTAAGTCATTGTAAGGTGCTAAAAAAAATTCAAAGCACCACACAAGTGCTGGGTGTTGTTAACACTCTTTTCATATTTTTTGTCATAAAATATATTTATTTCTAACTGGAATTGTTTGATGTCTTATCTGCACTGCATAGTTTAACTATGAGTGCATGTGCATCCAATCCATGAGACAATTTTGGGTTTGCAGTAGCTAAAAAGCACCCTTGTACTCCCCCCACAACACACACACACTCCCCAGGCAAGTAGACAGTAACATGTGCTAAAATGTTTGTATCTGACAAATCCCAGAGCTTAAGGGCTCTGCAGGGAGTTGGAGGGAAGAAAAAGGAGGGCAGGAAGTATGCACATTTGCCTCCTGAAGAACTGCAGATTGAAGTAACTTTTCCATCTTCAAGTCATTGTCCATAAGCATATTCATACACTGGGTGTAGTAATTATGTCAAGATGGACTGCACCAACACCATCATCAGTCCTTTATTAAAAATTTTTCATGCCTTCTCTCAATGAACTTCTCTCAGGTAACTCCAACCAATATTGATATTGACTCCTTACCTTAAAGGCAGCTCCACACAGCACTGACTCCTTCTCTCTGCAAGTTTCCTTCTTCCTTCTGCATGACTGGCTAAACCCCATCCTGTCCCTTACCCGGCCACCTAACCCTGTCTGTCCCTCACACAGCATCTTCTTACCTTGTCTGTCCTTTGCACAACCACACGTCCCTTACCTCCTCACAGCACAGCCAGCAGACTCCATCCCAAACTCCAGCAGACTGGTTCTTAAGCTCCAACTGACTCTCAACTAGCTAACCCACTCTTTTATAACACCCATCCTCACTGGACAGGCAAGGCTATCTCCACTTCTTGGCAGTCAGTACAGTTGTAATTGATTGAGGAAAATTGCCTTCTGCACTACCCTTACAAACTATCTTCCCACAACTGGGAAACTCCAACACTCACAGTACTTACAGGATCTGGAGCAGGAAGAAATGGCACCTCTGTGGCACCATATGCACCATTTTAGAAAAACAATTACAGTTAAACACTTCAGGAGAGAGATGGGCAGGACTCTAAATGGAGTCAGTGGGGGCCCCCAAGGCTGCCTGAGCCCTGCAAAAGCCAGGCTACACAAGAGAGCTCTCTCACAGAAGTGCTGTAGGTCTGACACAACTACTTACCAGTCTCTGTTCAAGTACAGCCCTATGCAGCTTTTGGCTGCTGACAGGGAGTACCTCCAATGTGCCTCACAGATGTGTCCATCCATGCAGGACAAAAGGCCAGGCCCTCCAGGAAACCTGACATAGGGACTGTGCTGGGCCTGGAGATGCCCTCACCTCCAGCAGGCTGCCTTCACTGGCAAAGCTCACACCAAAGCACCTCACACTGCCAACAGCTCTGAGCCACTGTGAAGCCAAGAGGCTTCAGTGCTTTCTTTGTTGCTTTTATTCCTCAAAGTCTCTAAAGGATTCCAAAGCCTGAGTTAAAACTAACAGAAGGATTCTAACTTAAAAAAAAAAAAAGTAGAGAAAAGCAAATTTTTTTTCCTTTTCTTAGTGGAAAAGGAAACATATACAGGAAAGAGATGAAGTTTCTAAATGACTGTGACATACTGTGATTCTAGAGCAAAATAAAGCATCCTTTGATGGAGATCTGCACCTCTTCAAACAAGCCAGCATTCTACAGCTGGGATGATCAGACCACAGCAACTTCCCAAGAATCCACAATGTGATACCAGCCTTAGGCACTCTATACTTAATTCCATGCTACAAGGAATCCCTCCTCTCAACTCTGTAGGCCAAAGTGTGGCAAAGCTGTTCATCTGGTCCAAAAATTTACCTGGCTGTTATTGTATAACAAGTAGCCAGCACAAGTACAAAAAAGAGGAATTGGACATTTTGACCTTGCATTCCCTCTTTTTACTGTCCTTGTTCTCAAAGGACTGCAGCTGCTTACAAGTCGTTTTGACCAACAATAACATCCAGACCAGAAAAGACATGGCCAACATTATGCCTGTTCCTTAGTCTCCCTGGGCATGATAGAGTACAAAGGGGTTTCCTGGAGCTCCCTGCTAGACTAGAGACAGAAACATTAGATGGGACACCTCATTAAAGAATGAATAACATAGAATAAATTATACACATACTCAGCCTCATCATCTGAAGGCATCAAGAAAAAACAATAAACTAATTTCATGAATTCTGGGAAAGAGTTAATTCCAATAACTTGAATATCAAAAGACAGTCATCTCCTGGATAACTAAACAGCCCTCTATCAGATGAGCAGACCCTGCAACAGCCAGGGTCAGCAGCTCCCTCTAAGTAAAGCTTTCATGCTCTGGATTAGTGAGCCTTAGCACTGTGGCACTACAGGTACCCTGCCAGTGGATCCCTCAATAACCAATCTGCACAGGGAAACAAAGAAGTAAAAGCCCATCAGGTTGGAAGTGACAAACAACAATTTTAAAAGACAAGTTGCCACATGCAGAGTCCCCAGTATACACAAGAAAATACGTCTAGGAAACAGTAAGAGGTGCAGTACGTTAAACTGCAATGAAAATTAATAAAAGGAAGAAAAAACAACCCAAAAAGCAACATGGCACTGCAGTTTCCACCTGTACTGGAGAGTTATTGAAGCACAATGGGAAACCTCTGTCTTTTTATTTTCACTGGGAATGTAAGAAGAGGCTCAGTGATCAGTCCCATGCATATTTACGAACCTTTGTAGCGAGCTGTCAATAACTGCACAAGCTGTTTGCAATGTTTTGCCACTAACAACAGCAGTTTTGTGGCAGCACTTCCTACAGCAGGATTGGTGGTAGAGGAAAGCTTATAAACAAGTTCATCCAAAACAGAGTGAAGGGTCTCTTCTTCAACATGAAGCAAGATAGAACTTCAAAAAGAATAAAGAAAAAAAGGGGAATTGGACAGAAGTGTTAATTAAAAAGCATGGACTTTTTAATAGTGACTTCTTTTCAGCTATGTCAGGCTATATACAACAAGCCAAGATGCCCAGCTAGCTGGACCAGGAATCTGATCCAGGCAGTACTACTGTTTCAATCAACCAATTACCACTCCCTCAATTTACGAAGATTAAAAACCCAGCTTTTCAATATTTTCAATTTCTACTTCAAAGACTAGGGGGGAAAAAAACCCCAAACATTAAAGCAGAACAATGCTTGCATGTGAAAAGATTTTATTTTACCAGGCAGTAATGAACTACATTTTATATTTATTATTAAGAAAAATAATGATATGAAAACAACTAACCTATTGATCCTCAAAATGTTGTGTAACACAGACATCATTATAATTGATGTTTCAACATCATCTGTTATTAACAACTGCAGGAAGCGATCATTTTGTAGTACTGCAAAGAAAACCAAAAACAAGCAAACAAGAAATTATACAATCAGAACCAGACTTGAAAATACTACAAATAAACTTCATAATAAGCCACAGCGAGTAAAACCAGACACTGTTTCTGGCACAAACTCTCTCATTTATAATTCTTACACTGAAACTTACTGAGATAACTAAACTACTTCAACCTCCACAAAACATGCTGAATCCTCTTTTTTTCTGCCTTTGGACATCCCTTAGGCACTGATGTTGCAAGGGAATTAAAGCTTTTAAACCCCTTTATATTACAATAGTACCTTTTTCTTACAACAACAGTAGAATTAACATTGGGGCAACAATATCCAGAAAAGTTAAGGACCTCAACCGTGACAGTTTGTTACCCCAGATTATTTAATGCAAGTCCACTGATGTCATTAAAGCACCATATTTTTTATCCCAGTGCAACACTGGCTACATATTCAGTAATTTTTATGGCCACATGTGTTTTTAGTTACACATCTTATGATACTTAGGTTTTTTTGTCCAATACTAGAAACAAAACCAAATTCTGCTTTTCAGAACCAGTGTGATTAGCATCAGTTTAAATGAAAGCTTATTTTGATCAGAAATATACAGTGAAGTTTGTTAGGTGTTTGTAAAATTTCCTGTCATGGCAAAAACTTCAGAAATCTGTCTTCAGATCTATCTATTCATCAGGGCTAGCAATGTACTCTGGTCAATTTTCTGCATATTTTAATCTCACACAGGAAAAGATCAATTGTCTCTTATTGGAAAAGAAAAAACAACTGATTTTTGAAAGTACAGACTTACAAAGAGAAATTACAGGATGACACTTTAATATTTATCTCTGAAAGACTAGAAGGGGAATTCTTGAGTATTTCCCCTTAGTGGATGTTTACCATTTTAGATATTGCTGTTGAGCTGACTTAGAGACTGATTTACCATCTACTCCAACTGAGAAGACTAGGTGGAGATTAGCTTAAGAGTGAATTTTGATACTTGTAGTTGCCATAAATAAATGTTCAGGTGTTCTGTGGGTTGACATTTCCCTTACCACAGGCTGCTAGTTGAATATGCCCACCGAAAAGCCAGCAGATGGCATCAGTTACTATTTGGAACCAGTGTAAAAAGTCTTGTTTTTCTTTCTCCTAAACAAAAGAGAAGTAGGTAAAAACGTGTATGATCTTCACTAAGGACTTCATCTTGATGTCATGGGAAGGTTTGTATGCCTCAGGAATCTGGAGACCAAACTCCACCAAATTTCCAAATGAGGTTGGTAAAACTGTAGGAACTAGTAAAGAAACCCCAACTATTACACCTTGGAGATCAGAGATCAGTCAAGAAGATCTGAACACACTAAAAATATAAAAGCATTCATTTGGGAAAAAAAATCACAAAGAGAGAGAAATCTTGTTTACTCCTTAAAAATATTTGATAGCATAGGAGGGGTAAGACAAATAATAGTCCAGCAAATATGTATAGCAGATTTAATGCACTAAGTGGGTAATATATTACTTTAAAGAAAAGGGGGAAAATAAAAAAAGGTACAAAGTGGCCAAGGACACAGTCAAAATGAAAAAGGTTCCTGATAACTGCTATGGTGAAGCTTCAGAAGCACCTCCTAGTTGGAGGTCTGGGAGCAAATACCAAACCACTATAAAGCTGAAATTTGATCTGTTTGCCAAACAGACTACATCATGTGCTTGCCTGTGATAGCACTGGACTGGAAAAAAACATAGAATCAATCATAGAATGGTAGGGTTGGAAAGGACCTAAAGTCCATCTTGTTCCAGCCCCACTGCCATAAGCTGGGACACCTTCGAGTAGACCAAATTTCTCAGAGCTCCATGGAGCCTGGCCTTGAATGATTCCACAGATGGAGCATCCACGGCTTCTCTAGGCAGCCTGTCCCAGTATTTTACCACCCTGACAGCACAGAATTTCTTCCCAATACCGAATTTAAACCTCCCTCTTCCAGTGTATAGCCACCACTCCTTATCCTGTCCCTACATGCCCTTGGAAAAAGTCCCTCTCCAGCTTTCTTGTAGCCCCTTTAGGTACTGGGAGGTGAAATAAATTCTCCTCAGACTTCTTCATGCTGAGCAACACCATCTCTCTCAGCCTTTCTTCACTGCAGAGGTGCTCCAGTGCTCTCCTGTGACCAGTAGGAATTTAGTTTCCAACATGTGAATGCACATAGAGACCTACATTACAGTCTGTATTCCAAGTGTGAGCCACAAACTACTGGAAATCTGAAATCTTGGTGTATGGAACAGCAAAAGGGTTTTTGACAGTACTACACTGCTGACAAATGTTATTACAAAGCACATGGTCATATATCTACATTAACTGAGCCTCCACAAATGAAACCCTGGGAAGCCTATTCCTAGCTCCCTGCTGGAGCCCCAGCCCCCAGTCAAGGTTCAACTTTGTACTTGGTCCATACTGACAAGGAGAGATACAAAATAACAATAATATGTTAAGCTGTAATATTATCTGCTCTGTATTTTGGCAACATGTCAGTTTCTGAAAGCTATTTCACTACTTCCCTTGACTCCAAAAACCTGTACAAAGAACAAAAGAGAGAAGAATAAATTTCAAATCTCCACTGGCAGAGTGGGATTTCCAAAATTCCACTGAGCAAGCACCAAGTCTGGGTGCCCAGTCACCTCGGAGACCATGAAGTTTAAAAGCCAAAGTACTAATTATAATGTAGACTGCATTTGCATTCAAAAGAAATCTTAGCCCACAAGCATGACTCAAGTAGAATGTAGGCTGACAAAATAAGAAAGTATGGGGGAAATTACATATTGTGGATAAGAGTCTCCTGGGATGTCATTTAGGAAGCTTCCTTCTTAAGCACTAAAGGCACTTCTAAAATACTGGACGAACAGAAACTATGTTATTGCATGGATGCCTTCTGAGAATTGATTGTCTGTGGCGTCTATCACAATACTTTGTAGGAAAACTTTGGCTAAGTGCAAGAAGCCAGCGAGCCAAGAAATGAGATAGTATGGAGAAATGGGGATATGAAAAGAAACTGTCAGAATCCATGAAGTTGATTATTTAAATTACTCGAGAGTTTTTGTTTGTTGGGTTTTTTCCTTCTGATTCTAAAGCTCAGAATACTGCAGAAGTATGAGGGAACCTTGCTGAGCAAAACCCTTCTTCACTGCAAAAGAGGAGGAAATTGTGAGAAAATGTTTAAATCTATAAATTCATGAAATGTGCCTTCAGCATTCTCCGTGTGCGAGTTCAGAAGCAGTGAGCATTCTTGGAATTTTTTTGCCAATTATTCAACAGAAATTGAATGACAAAACAAACTTCAACAAATCTGATTTAAAACCTTAAGACTTCCTAAACCATTTTTTGCAAAGCTGAATAAAATTAGTGAGAACTAAGTCATTACAAAGGCTGAACTAATGATATGCAAAGACACTACAGTGACTGGGATGCTGTCTGGCGTAGGGCTTTTTTTCCCTCTTATATTGCTCTAGTTCTTCAATCCTTCTTCTAATTGCACTCCTTCCCTCTACCTTTAAAATTTGTCAAAAGTAATAGCCAGACTATCTTAACAGGCCTACCGTAACAGAGTGGCTTTGCACAAGTCATGGAGTAAATGCTGCACAATGACAGATTTCAGCTTCAGAACTTGGAGGCATAAGAAAAGCTACTGCAATTTCTGGAAAATAAGTTTTCATAATACTATGTCCCTAAAATAATATCCTACTTATCCAACACATGACCTCAGAAAGTTTTCAGGCGTTCTCTGGTCTTTAAACTACGAAACTTAAATACCTTGATGGCTCGGATAAATCGTGCTTGCAAGCGTTTTCCCAAAACCAGCAGGCTGTCTATAGCTGAAGGAAGAAACGTCTTGTAAAATTCCTCAGGATCTTCTTTCACTTCTAACCCTACACAACAATGACTGAAATGGGGGGGGGAAAAAAAAGGGAAAAAAATCAACCTGAATAGTCAAAGACCTGCTTGGACAGCTTTGAATGAATGTCACGTCATCAGAGAAATGCTTCAGTGGCACGGGACAATCCCCCTGAACAGCAGCTCACTGCTGTGACTGGCTCCAAGGCGGCTGCCTCCAAGGAAGAGCAACCACTCCCAGGTTGGAAACCATATTACTACTTACTATGGCATCTCTCATTTAAAAACTTATCTAAGGCCCTTTCTCCTTTAGCTTCACAGAATCTGTTCAGGCTTGTTCCATATTCTGGGAAGGGCTCTGATGGTCATAAAAAAGAAAAATAAAGGCAAACCAGAAAGGTAGAAAAAAAAGCTGATAAAGGAAGTCCAATGATGAAGGGGGTGCACATCAGGCAGTGAAAATATGTATAAAAAATATACCACGAAACCTTCAGCAAGCCTGTCTACAACTTTTCTGGAACTGAGGAAGGCACGTGGGCTAGAAATCAGTTCTTCAGATCTCAGCTCTCTTATTTAACTCACCGCAACATGTTGGTTGTTTCTGGAAGATTTTGTACAAGAAACTGCATGTTTTACAACTGGTAAGTTGTTTCAATTCTGCACTCAGCACTGATACTAGTGCAACAAGAGAGTATTCCTGACTTTTTATGAATTTTGCTTTTTGATATCTTATCTAGGCCATGTCAGCTTTTCAGGAATGCACACACGTAAAGCTACCAAAGCTCTTGGAAAACAAATTCTAGGCATGAAGCTGAGATTCATTGAGCTACAAAGGACATTTTTACAGCTAAAATAAATTTCAGTATTCTCTGCAACTGCAACATCTTATAAGGGATGATTTAAGTATTACACTGCTCTCGTAATAACTCTTGCATCTCTTACTGAAATTCCTCGCATTAAAAATTCATATTGCAGATATGGCATAAATAAGAGATGGTCACATAATTACTTCATGCCTTAGAATTTTACTCCCTAGTTAAGCCAAAACTAAGTACAACTTGAAGAAAATTTAAAATGCATTATTTTTCCTGACATTTAAAATTGCGATTGGACCACTGGGGGTTTGAGTTTAAAGTTTTCTTATTTACAATACCATTCCCACAAAATCACTATGTCAAGTTATCTAGCCTGTATGAACTGTGCCATCTATTATATTTAAAAATGTAAATAGATACTTAAAATGGGTATATTAAATAAATATTTAAATACAGTCAAGCCAAATAGTGAGTTAATCAGGCTAAAGATCTTTGCAAGATGAAGTCTAAGAAAACAAAATAATTTTTAAATAACTACAATTCAAAATTATAGAATTACTGGTTAAGAACTGTTGCACTGGTGAGTACTGTCCACAAAAAAAAAGTAAAGCCAGCACAAAACCATGTTCCCACCATACAGTTCCTCCAGCTCAATGAAACACAATGCAAATGAATTTAAAAGGGCCAATTAGGCTATGCCTGACCCCTCTGCTCTTGACTGCTCCCTGCACTTTAACCCTGGCCTTTCCTGAACAACAAGCCTTGTTCTGGAAGGGAGCCAGCGTATTACAGTTTGAAAAGAAAAAGAGCAAGATGAAAGGACAGAAAGAAAACTGGAAGAAAACTTCTTAGCTTTTTTTTTTTTTTACCTTAGTATCTCTGCTACCTGGGCAGCAGTAGCCCAGGCTCCATGAAGCTGAGAGTGATCTTGCTTAAGGACCAGCAAGCAGTACTGAGTAAGACCATAATCGTATATATCTTGCTTAATTTTATTTGATTCTTCACATCTTAAAGAAGGATTACTTAAAATTCCTGTGGAAGAAAGCAGGAGAGAGACAAAGAGGAATATAAGATTCTGATGTGCAAGGTTTTTTCTATTTTTTTTAAATGTAAGAAGAGTATATGTACACAGAGCCAGGATCCAGGACTAAAGTAATTGTAAAAGTGCTAAGAACAGCATTAAATATTGTGTGAGCAATTTTTGCTGTTACAGGTACAACTCATTTGTAAGATTATATGACACTTGGGAAGGATAGCTAAACTTAGGTTTCCATTTTCTCTGCATATTTAGTAGCAAAAGATACATTACCTGGGATATGAACCATTTGTATGAATTTCCTAGGCTAGATAAAACCACAACCGCTGGGAAACATATAGCTTCCTTATAATTACATCCCAATTTAGAACAGGACCTGACTTGTTTCAACCATTCCTATGAGCAGTGGCTGTATAGCAGAAAGAAAGACAGGGAAGTCACACAGGAGTTCACAGTCTTGTTTTTATGTTAAGATTTAAAAACCACGCTGGCTCTCTGCCCAAAAAGCACTGGGAGAAATTATTTGACCATGTGTAAGATCCCTGCCTGTATCAGCAGGGAAAGGGCCCACATTATCAGGGTGACAGCTGAAAAGCAGAAAAAAATTCTGTCCATTTGCTCCTCCTCCTTATTTTCAGTCAAGTCAAATGTCACTCAGGAAAAGCTGCTGTATCAACCTTCCTTACAGAGTTTCAGAAAAAACTTCTGTATTTAAGGAGGCAGACGGGAGAAGGATTGGCCATAGTTAGGAGCTCATCCTTTTACTTTAGGAACGGCATTAATTACCCTTTAACTTCAGCAGCAGCAGGGGGATGTCCTGTTCTCTGCTCTCAGTGATCTGAGCAGCCAAGGCCAGGACCTGAGGGTCCGGGGCTGCCATAGGGAACAGCCAGAGGCGCACACCACCATCGATTCTAGTCTCTTTCCTTTCTATGTTAAGGCGCGGGGTCCTCACGCCACTACTTCATCCCAGCTCCTGCACCACCAGCTGGAAGCCTCGAGCCGCACGACTCCCCCTGAGGAAGGAAACAAACATGGAGGGAGCCCCACTCGCGCTCCCTCCCGAGGCCGCGGGCAGCCGGACCGGCTCTGCCGGCAGGGTGCACCTCCGGCCGGGTAGCCTGAGCGCGGCCCCCCCACGTGGCGGGCGGCGGGAGCGGCCTCACCTCACCCAGGGCCGGGGAAAGGGCAGAGGGAGCGGTGCTCTCTCCCACCGGCGTCACCCGGTGCCCCTACTGTCCCTGGGAGCGGCGGCGCCGGTGCCGCGAACCCCCAGGCCGCGGGGCCCCCTCGGGGCGCTCTGAGCGGACCCAGACGCAGCCTCAGCTCCCCTCTCACCGCCGCGCGAGGGCTCCCCGACTGAGGGGGGCGGGAGGGGGGATTGGAACGCCGATCCCGCCGTCTCCAACGCGACGGCTCCCCCACTCCCCCCTCCCCTCACAGCTGTGTGGTCGCGGCCTCTTTCCGCCAACCAGCGCTCTCCCCTGCGGGAGGAGGGTGCATTTGCATATCCGCGTGCGGGCTGGCACATCCGCCTCCCCACTGGCGGACACTCACGGACGGACGCGCTCCCTGACCAATCCCGCTCGGGGCGGGCGGGGCTCTGTCCGTCACGGCCTATCGAAGCCCGCGTGGGCGGGCCCCGCCGGCCCGGGCGGCGTGAGGGATGCTCGGTGCGGGTGGCGGCGGCGGCCCCGGGGCCCGCCATGGTGTGAGGCGCTGCCGCGATGAACGGAGCGGTTCCGTCGCTCTACGATCCTAAGGCGCGGGTGCTAAAGCTGGGAGAGAGCTTCGAGAAGCAGCCGCGCTGCGCCTTCCACACAGTCCGCTGTGAGTGCTGGAGTTGGGGCAGCTCTCGGGGGCTGCGGGGGTCGGGGAGGGGTTCGGCTGCCCCCGGTCCCCGCAGTCCCCTGGAGGGCGGGGAGTGGTTGCGGCTACGCTCAGTGGCTGCCTCTGTCCCGGGATTCTGGGGCTCAGCTGGGCGCGGAGAGCCGTAGAGTGCTGGTCCGGGATTTAGGGAGCGGTGCAGGTTTCAGTCGGTGCTGGAAGCACGTACGGCCATTGTATCCTAGAGCTGCCCCTCGCTATCCGCTGGCATTAACTTCGCTTTTTGTGCCTTTTCCATAGTGTGTCCCTGCGGTTCTGCTGGAAACCGAGCTAAGCTGAAGCTGTGGCTCTGTCTTCTTTCTCTTGCGCTCAGTTTTTAGAAGTTCCGTACAATTCAGCAATCAAAGGTTAAAGGCAGGCGGTGTTAATCACGGAGCCAGTACACCCTCCCTGAGTACATAATTACTATCTAGAGAGGTGTGTGCTCAAAGATTCTGAGGGTAGCTAGGAAACAAATGCTCCCAGGATTATAGTCCTTGGTAATTTAGGACTGCAGCTTCTGGTTTTGTTGTCTGGTTATTTATAGGCTGATATCCCTAAGATTCAGTCTTACGTATGTTCTCTGGAGAGTGTCCTGTGTGCAAGATGGGTAATGTGCTCTGTGAGCAAAGGGAACGGCACTTAGGCAGATTGTCTGCAACTGTGGAAGCGGAGGAGAGGGGGAAAAAAAAGCTATAAATGGATTTAAACAAATGCTGCAATTTGAAATTTACCCTAATTTTAAAGAGGACTAGCAACCTCATCTGGTACCTCCTACCCTTAGAGTTTCATGCTGACTCTTGTAATTTGATGGTTTATTCTGAAATCTGTTTTGAAATCTCTCTTCCTTTCCAACAAATGAGACATAGTAACTGGCACATTCATCAGTTCTACCAAATACACATGCAGAAGAAATATCCTCTGATACCTGACTTTTTAAACAGTTGAGTAAAGGGAAAACAGCTGCTGGTTAGAAGTTAAGATTGGAACTATCAATATCTTCATTTTCTCAAGTATTAACAGCCCAGTGACCATATATTAAAGCAAATATTCTCTGATTTGATGAGAAACTTTGGAATTGTTGAATGCTTATTCCTGTAAGATGACACTTAGGGGTTTGCCCTAAACAAGGTTAGCAGGGGTTGTCACCTGTGTCTGAGCCGCGAGCACGCACAGCCCTGCCCACCAGCTCCTGCAGCCTGGTTTTCCTGCCTGGTTGGTGTGCTGGCTGGAGCCATGCTTCCCAGCTGTGGTCTGTGCCGCCTGGCCCGTGGCCGCAGGCCGAGTTAGGGAACTGGGAAGTTCCCCAGCTGCAGGAATGCCGCCGCCAGTGACCAGCAGCGTGAGAAGGGGCGAGGAGCGAGGCAGGGCGCCGGCATCCCAGTGCGAGACTGGCCTTGCCATACCCGGAGCCGTGGGCTCCACCCCACATATGTTACCACAGGCCTTGAGGAACCTCTTGATGGCTCCTGTCTCCCTAAATCGGTACAGGCAGAGTTTTGTCTGTAGCCATTCCCAATTTATTTGTGGTGGAAATAATACTCTGCAAGTGATGAGCTGCTGTGCTGATGCCTGAACATGTATGTTTGCAATGTCTTGGAGTTTTGAAAAGGACCAGAAATCGATACCCTCTTTTGCTCAAAACTTATTTTAACCATTACTTTAGAAGCTGAAAAAAGCAAAATGTAAAGCAATGTTAAACTGGGAAGGTATTTCACTTTTAACAAAAATAACTACACTGAAACACCAAGTTTCTGTCAGGTTCTGATATGCTTGTTACAGTAAAGTCAGAAACAGAAAGAGAAATGCGTATTGAGGGGTGATTTCTTCTTTGCATTTTCAGTCACTTGTCTATATCTCCCATATTTGAGATCAACATTTTCAAGAGCTATTTATTGATTCTTCTGAAAATAATTACATTATAATTTACCTTTTGAAATATAACACAGCTTGTTCAGCCTTTTTATCAATTAAAACCTAAAGGTGTTTTTCTAATTTTAACCAAAAGATTTAAACACGTATAATGAATCCTGAGAAAAGCAGCTTAACTTTGAATTCTATTGACTTATGGAATGATCTGCTCAGGGGAATGGTAGATGATACACTAGCAAAAAGGCTTTTACTTAATAGCCTCCAACTGCAATTAAGTGGTGCCTGCATTTATAAGATTCATGAAAAGCCTGTAAGTTAATCTGGTTTATTTTTCTATTTAGATGACTTTAAGCCGGCATCTATTGATATGTCCTGTGAAGGAGACCTTGAAGTTGGCAAAGGTGAACAGGTGACAATAACACTGCCAAATATTGAGGTGAGTTGATGTGGCTGGAGAGTGGCGGGCTTAAGGGAATGCTTTATTTTATTGTCCTAAGTATATGTCCTGACGATGGAAGGATATAAAGTTTTAGTGCTGTTTCAGAGCTGCCTGGTTGATTTTTAGAGTAGAAAAACAATTACTCTAAGAATGTAAGATTACAAGAGACCCAAAGGTTAAACAGCTGCACTGTAACTTTATTTGCTACACTGGAAATATGCTGTAGGATGACCCAGAAGTATTGCGTACACAGAAAAGCTTTATGTGTATGTTGGCAGTGCAAGTTTCCTCTTGGTATTTATTGCTCTAGTGCAGTTCTAAAGCAGGAAAGACTGGAAAGGGAAAATTTACTACTTGCCATGCTTTACTGCTCTGCTGATATGGGAACTGAAACCCCTTTTGGTGAGAGGAGTCCTAGAGAGAGCCTGCTCTCATTGGGAAACAAGCATTTAATCAGTTTCAAACTAAGCTAAGCGAGTAAAATCCCATTCCAGTCAAACACCAGCTGCTTTTGGACACAGCTACTGTGAATCTAATTTGAATTAACCAGTAACATTTTTAATGGCTAGAAATGATCACTTGTAGTGAACTTGTCACCACTGATGGATTGCTGTTTCTAAGAAAAATGAGTACAGGAGTAACATTTACTGGACTTCTGATTTAATAGGGCTCAACTCCACCAGTGACTGTGTTCAAGGGCTCAAAGAAACCTTACCTAAAAGAATGTATCTTAATTATCAACCATGACACTGGAGAATGTCGCCTAGAGAAACTTAGTAGCAACATCACTGTGAAAAAAACCAGGTGGGTGATTTACAGGAGAAACAACTGTGCTTTATTCATTGTGAAAAACAATTTGTGAATGAGTCTGAATTGAGATATATAACTACATATTACTATTTCTAGGAAAATGTAATTTTAGAAAGTACCTGGCCTTGTTCAAAGGAGTCAAAAGCCTGCTTTCTCAGCAAACTGACTTCACATATTTTGAGTCGTGACTGCAGAAGAAATGGAAATTTATTTTTTTGTTAACCAAAACATGTTATATTATTGAAAGAAATAGTAACTATTTTCTGGTGAGTTTAGAAGGAGGAAAAATCTGTTTGGCTCGTAGCTTGCCTACTGTCTTCTGACTTGTAAATGAGGAAATTTAAAAAATAAAATTTTTTGATAGGTATCAGTAATTTTATGGCTTGTTTTTCTTAGACCAAGTGTTTTAATATTGTTTTTTTCTTCTGCTGAGTCCATATAAGTAACTCCCAGCGGAATTATTATGTGATCCTGGATAGCAAGGTATAAAAACAAATCAACTGACAAAGTGCTACAAAATTATGAGCACTGTATAAAAAATAATTTTAACACATATATACAATATCAATAATATAATATTAATATATTATGTGTATTAGTATAATAATTTATGAGTATAAAAGCATACCTAAGAATTTAATGATGCTATTTAGAAAGGCTTAAGAAATACTTCCATCGTACCATATCCCCAGTGTTCTTGCATTTTCCTTTGCATCTTGCCTTCTAGTAATTAAAAATCTTTTCCTATTACACACAGAGCTGAAGGAAGTAGTAAAGTCCAGTCTCGTATTGAGCAGCAACAGCAGCAAATGCGAAATGCAACAAAGGTTCCAAACAACATTAAAAATTCTCCATCAAAAGAAAAAACATTTCCACCTTCTCCTATGGATGATATTGAACGGGGTAAGCTCCACTGGCACATATGTTTCAGAAACTTTGCTGTTAACAAGCAATTAGTTTTTAAGAGTTTTTTGTGTCTAGGTTGTTTTTGTTTTGTTACTTGAGTTTCGCACT